AGTCCGATCTCAGCTCACTACAATCTCTGCCTCCCAGGTTCAAGAGATTCTCCTGCCTCAGCTTCCCAAGTAGCTGGGATTACAGCCACCTGCCACCATGCCCGGCTAATTTTTTTTTTTTTTTGTATTTTTGGTAGAGACGGGGTTTCACCATTCTTGGTCAGGCTGGTCTTGAACTCCTGACCCCATGATCCACCCGCCTCAGCCTCCCAAAGTGCTGGGATTACAGACATGAGCCACCACACCCAGCCTGAATGCTTTAATTTTTTAACAATCTGAGTTGTTAAGAAAAAAATGGGTGAAAATTATGTATAATTAAAATACAGGAAAATTTAGGAGAGAATTTAAATAGTGAGGATTAATATATGTCCAATTTTTTAAACTGTGAAACTCATTTAAATTAGCAAAGCACCTTGGATGAGAATACTAATAAAAGAACTCAGTGAGAAAAGCCAGAATTTGATCCAACAGTGATTTGCTAATGACCATCTTTTTTTGGTAAATTTTATTAATGTTTGCTTTGGTAAATTTATTAAAGTGTATAAATAATAGAAAAATGCATGTATCATAAGTACAGCAAGATACAATTTTACAAAGCTAACACATATGTGATTGGCACACAGATGACACGCAGAACATGACAACACTCCAGAAACTCCCTTGGGTTCCCTTCTGGGTCTTACCTGCTTCCAAAAGTAACCACTGTTTTAACTTCGAACATCCTGCTTTTGCTTAATTTAAAGGGAAGCATATGGTACGCCCTCATCTGTCTTTTTTGTGTTAACATTGTGTTTATGAAACCCATTTGTGTTGCTGCATGTCGTTATGATCTGTTCCTTCTCATTGCTGTGTAGTTTTCTACCATATGACTATACCCCACTTCACTAACTCATTCTCTTATGAAGGAATCATTGGGCTGTTTTCCATTTTGAACTATTACAAATGGTGGTGCCATGGATGATAAGGTTTCAAAAATGAATTTTATATAATTAAAATGCTTTTTCCAAAAACCATGCGTCCATCAAAAATGTAGTGTATAAAATAATTAAGAGAGTACCTGGAATTCTCTGGTAGCCTCTTGTAACTCCGTTTCGAGCTTTTGGATCTCCTTCTTTAGTTGAATATTTTCCTTTGTCATTTCATCAATTAGTTCCTTAAAAATATCAAACGGTACCAAAGAAAGTAAATAGCCCCAAACTCATTTTTCTGAATGAACTAAAGACTATAAATTTCTCTCATTCTGAGCAAAGAAAGACATTAGACAGTCTCAGAATAAATATGACTATGTGCATAATGCATTTGTTGAATATTTTACATCATCACCTGTCTATTCTAACATTGCCAAGTAGTACTATCTCCATCATATAAATCAGGAAACCACTTTTTACACTAGGCCAATGTCACAGAAATTTGTATAGTAAGGCAAAGATTGAGATCAGATCTTCTGAATATTACTTCAGTGCTGCATCAACTCCTTTCTTAGCTATTTGTGACCACAATAAGACTTTTAAATTGCACTGTAATAGCGGACATATTCTGGGGCAGTTTGTTGTTGTTGGTGGTGGTGGTGGTGTTTTTAATTATCTGTGATTCCCATAGTATCCCATAGTACACAGCTGCCTTAACAAGCCAGACATATGACCTTGAGGAAGTAGTTTAATCTACCTGGCCTCTGTTCCCTCTTGGGGTCTAATGAGATACTTGCTAACTATGCTCTTAACTTGTTGATACAAATCCAAGAAATGAGGGTGTGAGTGAGAAAGCAGCTAGTATTGTAAGCCTTATATGAGAAAGAATAAAAATACAACACTTCTTGTAAGACTTAAATAACATAATGGAAGTTAAAAACTTTTTTAAAGCCTAACAGCCTCCCAAATTCAAGGTAATGTCGGACAAAGACATACAAAACATGCCTTACTGCAAAACTAATAGATATAAATTAATTTTTTTTTTTGAGACAGAGTCTCACTCTGTCGCCCAGGCTGGAGTGCAGTGGCCCGATCTCAGCTCACTGCAAGCTCCGCCTCCCAGGTCTACGCCATTCTCCTGCCTCAGCCTCCCGAGTAGCTGGGACTACAGGCGCCCGTCACCTCGCCCAGCTAGTTTTTTGTATTTTTTAGTAGAGACGGGGTTTCACCGTGTTAGCCAGGCTGGTCTCGATCTCCTGACCTCGTGATCCGCCCGTCTCGGCCTCCCAAAGTGCTGGGATTACAGGCTTGAGCCACCGTGCCCAGCCCTAAATTAATTTTAATAATACCCAGTAATTTCCTTTTTACCTTATTTTGTTCATCTTTTATAAATTCATGTGGCCCATGCTCCTTAAGAACTTGTTGTGTGTTGTCTTTATCAGCTTCCATGATTCCCTAACATTATAAAAAATATTGTAAGCATAGCATATATACACAAATTTCAGAACAAAGAAATAACTTTTATCCTTTTATGGAAGAAACATCTCTTTTCTTTGCTATATCTTTTTTTCCTATCATCAAAGGCTTTATTCTCATATGGCTTATATCCAAACAAAGTCTGTATTTCAATAACTCCTTTTTTTTTTTTTATTTTGAGACAGAGTCTCACTCTGTCACTCAGGCTGGAAGGCAATAGTCCGATCTCAGCTCACTACAATCTCTGCCTCCCAGGTTCAAGAGATTCTCCTGCCTCAGCTTCCCAAGTAGCTGGGATTACAGCCACCTGCCACCATGCCCGGCTAATTTTTTTTTTTTTTTGTATTTTTGGTAGAGACGGGGTTTCACCATTCTTGGTCAGGCTGGTCTTGAACTCCTGACCCCATGATCCACCCGCCTCAGCCTCCCAAAGTGCTGGGATTACAGACATGAGCCACCACACCCAGCCTGAATGCTTTAATTTTTTAACAATCTGAGTTGTTAAGAAAAAAATGGGTGAAAATTATGTATAATTAAAATACAGGAAAATTTAGGAGAGAATTTAAATAGTGAGGATTAATATATGTCCAATTTTTTAAACTGTGAAACTCATTTAAATTAGCAAAGCACCTTGGATGAGAATACTAATAAAAGAACTCAGTGAGAAAAGCCAGAATTTGATCCAACAGTGATTTGCTAATGACCATCTTTTTTTGGTAAATTTTATTAATGTTTGCTTTGGTAAATTTATTAAAGTGTATAAATAATAGAAAAATGCATGTATCATAAGTACAGCAAGATACAATTTTACAAAGCTAACACATATGTGATTGGCACACAGATGACACGCAGAACATGACAACACTCCAGAAACTCCCTTGGGTTCCCTTCTGGGTCTTACCTGCTTCCAAAAGTAACCACTGTTTTAACTTCGAACATCCTGCTTTTGCTTAATTTAAAGGGAAGCATATGGTACGCCCTCATCTGTCTTTTTTGTGTTAACATTGTGTTTATGAAACCCATTTGTGTTGCTGCATGTCGTTATGATCTGTTCCTTCTCATTGCTGTGTAGTTTTCTACCATATGACTATACCCCACTTCACTAACTCATTCTCTTATGAAGGAATCATTGGGCTGTTTTCCATTTTGAACTATTACAAATGGTGGTGCCATGGATGATAAGGTTTCAAAAATGAATTTTATATAATTAAAATGCTTTTTCCAAAAACCATGCGTCCATCAAAAATGTAGTGTATAAAATAATTAAGAGAGTACCTGGAATTCTCTGGTAGCCTCTTGTAACTCCGTTTC